CAACCTTTGGGTACACTTCCCTCCACCCTTACCTGCCTCTGGAATCACTATTCAGCTCTCTACATTTATGAGATCAACTTAGAAAAACATAATACTATTAAGATGGTAATTTCCCCCAAATTAATCTATAAATTTAATGCAATCCTGATTACAAATCTCATCTGATTTATTATGGACTTAACAAACTTGTCCTATACCACTGTAGGGGACTATAAATAACAAAATGTATTGTATGTTTTCAAATGCCTAGAAGAACAGATTTTAAATGTCTCCAACACAAAGAAATGATAAATGTTTGAGGTGACAGATATGCAAATTACTCTGATCATTATACATTGTACACATGTATCAGAATATTACACTGTATTCCACAAATATATACCATTATTATGTCTTCATTACAAATAATAATAAAAGCAAAATAACAACTTTCACTTCAGTTTGGTCAGATACTCAAAGAATGTGTTTCCCAGAGCTGCTGGCTATGCTTAGAAACAGGTGTGGGTCATTGCACCGTCAGTATTTTATCAAGCCAATAAGCATCTAGTGATTCTACAATGTAAGGCTTCCCAGGGAACCTAGAGGAGACAGCGAACTTAGGTGCAACTTCTTAAGAATGAAAGAAATGGGGCAAATGTGCATTAATGATAGAGCAAAGTGAAGTGCTTCCTGGTGGTAATTCTTATTAATATAAACACAGCTTTTGATCATCATTAATCTTAGCACAAATAGGATATTAAAAGAACCACAAAAAACTAGAAATGACAGAGGAAAGCAAATTATGAATGAGCTACAGAAATTTTCACTAAACAATAAAGAAAATTGATTAAGCACATTTTCTGAGTTTACTTTTAGGTAACTTACATTGTTTTTTGAGAGACAGCTCATTTCTTGTTAAAGCAAACTTTAATCACTCTATAAAACTTCATATTCATTTAGAAAAATAGCTTATATGTATTTTTCGAGCAAAATGACATTCTAGTTAGATCAGTGCAAATTCAGTTAACTAATGATTGTTTCAAATGCAAGAAAGGAAAGCAGAGTAAAAATTAGTGTGTATTAAACTTCTATATGCATATTTTGAAAGACTAGTAAAAGAGATTACTCAGATAAAAATAAAGAATATTTTAAAGTAAAAAAATTTGAAGCATATAATAAAAAGATAGGAAAGAGAAGGATAATATTAGCACTTTGCACTTGTGTAGCTCGTAATAGACGGCAAAGCATTTTCACACTCTCTTTCTCCTTTTATTCTTGTAAAGATAAGGTCAGTGGGCATGCCATAATTATTGACCCTTTAAATGTAAGGCCAGTGACCATCAAAGAACCTAAAGCTCTTGACCAGGGTCTCAGATCCTGGAAGTGTGTCAAAGCCAGACCTCTAGGATCTAAAAATCTTCCCTTCCCTTTTCTACAGACTGATGTTCTAAAATGAAGAAATAAGGAAATTTGTACAGAAAAGATAAATGCCAATCCATATAAAATGTTTGTGAATTCTGGAATTCATATTGCATTAAATGAATATTTTAAAAGAGAATGAAATAAATGAAAGCAAAAAGAATTGAGTTATTTTATTAATAATATTTTTCTAACACAGAAATATTTCCAGGAAAATATGACTCTCTTTAAGAGAAGCTTATGGAGAAATGACTCCTTGCAATATCAGTCATAGAGGTTAAAAAAAGAAATTTGGATCCAGGTGACAATATGAGAAAAAAAAGGAGAAGCTCTGGGTATAAAGACAATGTTTATGAAATCATGTCAAAGAACAGAGAAAAATAAAGAGCAATGAGTACTTGTTCCTTTGTTCCCAATCCTTTGGTGTTTTTAATACTCTTTTAGGAAGAGTTTGCCATTATTAAACAATAGTTATTATTTCCAATATGATTATTTAAAGTCATTATTAAAGATGTCACTTGGACACGGTAAACACAATTGCTCTGCAGCTACCTTTGCATGTTATCATCTAGGATGGTATGTTGGATTTTATAAAAAATATAATGCTGCCTAACAGCTACCTGTGTCCCCTTCTTACTTTAAGGATAAAGAAATGCCCTTTAATTTCCTAAGCTTAAGTGAAGCCCACATCTATTGATTTCTTTGATTACTTAATTCAATAATCCTGTCAAAATTGACATGAGGTTTTCTGAAACCATTTTCTCCCAGGGAACTCAGGCTAGATCCACTTTTCAGAACTTCTACTATAATGAAGGTCAGAAACTATTTCCTACCTTATTTGAAAACCTTACCCAGGGCAGTTTTCAAATTAAGTCACAACTAATGAAATAAATTTTGTTTTCCTTTAAAAAGCAGTGCATATACCTGTAGTCTCTCTAATTACCATACTTTTTATGATATCCATGTTTTTTATAAAATTGCTATTAGTATTTTACCAATCTTTCCACCAATTAGTTGTAATAACCTGCATTTAAAAGATGTGTCAACAATGTAAAAATAGTATCATTTAGCATAACTGAACATCTTAATATTCTATCATTACATATTTGAACTTTACATTTTTCTTACCATGTTCCAATTACTATTAAAATTTTATTATATTTCATAAATGAATAGAATAATTATATTGTCTTTAAATTAATCCTTAATACTTTCTGCCTTTATATTTCAAATTTTGATATATTTATATTCTATTCATATTTATATTCTATTTCTAGATAGAAAAAAATTATTAATATTTATGGATAGTTAACATTATCAAATTTTAGTTTATATGTCTTAAAGTAGTGACATAATTTTATTTAATAATTTAATGTGATAAATTCTGTTGCTGGAAAAAAATGCTCTGGTTATTAGCTATTAATTTCATAAAGTGCTATTGGAGTTCATTTGTTTTTGCTCATTTAGATTTTACAACCATGTGCGAATGTGAGATTGGTCTAAATATTTCTTCTTGTCCCACTTTTGTGTTCTTTCTCTCTGCTTTGCTCCAGTCCCAAACAATGAAGTAAATTCTTCAGTGTGACTCTATGCCCCTGTGTGGTTTTCCCCTCTTTGACTTGCTTCTTATGGAGCAGCTTTGTGATTTTCTCCACTTGGATTAGATAAGGTCAATGCACCAAGAATAATAGTAAATATCATAACACTAATGATAAATTCTGAAATTTCTTACTTGGGAGGTTTTAAAATAATCCATGAGTCGTTACTCTGTATCAGTACTCCCAGAAATGATGAATAAACTATTCAGAAGGTCCTTCCTTCCCTTCATTTCCCTATTTTCCTTTCTGCCTCTTCCCTAGCACTTACCTAGTATATACAAGGAATTGACAGACAAACCCCAGAGATGCACAGATAAAAATGTTTTTTATCCATAGAAATGATAGTATAATCAGGGCGGCATGGTGGCTCATGCCTGTAATCCCAGCACTTTGGGAGGCCGAGGCAGGGGCATCAGCTGAGATCAGGAGTTTGAGACAGCCTGGTCAACATGGTGAAACCCTGTCTCTATTGAAAATACAAAAATTAGCCACGCATGGTGTCATATACCTGTAGTCCCAGTTCCTTGGCAGGCAGAGGCAGAGAATCACTTGGACCCTGGAGGTGGAGGTTGCAGTGAGCCAAGATCATGCCACTGCACCTCAGCCTGGGCAACAGAATGAGACTCCTTCCAAAAAGAAGAAGAAGAAAGAAAGAAGGAAGGATGGAAGGAAGGAAGGAAAAAGGAAGGAGGGAGGGAGGGAAGGAAGGAAGGAAAGAAAGAAAGAAAGAAGGAGGGAAGGAGGGAAGGAAAAGGAAGGAAGGAGACAATCAATTAGAAATAGAAGCTGAAACATCAATAATAGAGCATCATCCTATATTTAGTGACTTAACGAGAAAACTACGCTGAGAGAGAAAAATTAAAAGTCATTCCTCTCTTGTAAATGTTTATTTTTACAGAAGTTATAGAATGGAATGCTCAGAGCATGTTGCGTGGATTATTAAGAGGGAATCTTTGTAGAATTGTTTGTAAAAAATGAAATCATTACCTTAACGCTTACCTGGGCCATTCCAACAGTGAAGGCAAAGGGGCTAAGAAGACACAAACGCCATTCCAAAAATGCACCAAAAGACAACAAGGAGAAATACAATCAAGCCCATGAGGAAAGCCTTCTTTATTCACACACTCATCAGGAAAGCTAAAGTTATCTAAGAAAAGAGAAAACTTCAGCTGGTATATAATTCTCTGAGAACCATCAATAGCACACAAAAAAGGAATTTTATATTATAAAAGTATATTTTATCAGTTTTCCACCTCTAGACACTGTCTTATGCAAATACTACAAAGAAAACAAAAGAGGTGAGATCAGAATTAGTGATAAATGATTGACAGCAGAGGGAGAGAAAGAAAGAAAGATTGATATGAAATTCACCAACTCACCAAAGACAGGCTATAGAGGAGAAAGAGGGTGAATACCAACACAAAACCAGTCAGGATGACAACTTGTGCAGATTTTACAATAAGAGCCATTGCAGTGGCCATGATAAGGATGAAGGTAGCATACATCAAACCCCAGGAAAGCCTAGCAGAAAAACAAAGCAGTCAGAGTGTTGTTACTTCATCACTTCCTTGATTCATTTATTTAGCAAATGATTTGTGAAGCTCATAATTTATATCGAGAGTTAAGAAAATGCAATAGCTAACTTATCTTCTAACCTCAAGCTTACACAATACAGGAGAAGGTAGGCAATAAAAAGAGAGGCAAAATAGATAGCTAAATTGCAAATAAATAAAGCTGTGTGATAAGATGGACATCACCGGGAGAGGTTTTCAAGGATAGCTTTTCTGGGAAGACATCTATGATGATTTGTCAGCTCTGGACAAGTTTCTTCAGTAAAGTTATTGTGTAAACCATACGGACAAAAAGTAGATAATGAAGCAGGGTTCAGCAAATTTTTTTTCTAAATAGCCACATTGTGAATATTTTCAGCTTTGCATCCCATACAGTTTCCATTGCCATTGTATCATAAACACAGTCATAAACAATATGTGAGTGATGTGTGGCTGTGTTTCAATAAAATATATTTATGGACAATAAAATTTGAATTGCATATAAATTTTCACATGCCACAAAATATTATTGTTCATTGAATTTTTTCCCAAGCATTTAAAAATGTAAAAATATCCAGCCAAACTAAGCTTCATAAGTGAAGGAGAAATAAAATCTACAGACAAGCAAATGCTGAGGGATTTTGTCACCACCAAGCCTGCCTTACAAAAGTTCCTGAAGGAAGCACTAAATATAGAAAGAAAAAACCAGTCCCATCCACTGCAGGAACATGCCAAAATATAATGACCAACAACACTATGAAGAAACTGCACCAACTAATGTGCAAAATAACCAGCTAGCATCATGATGACAGAATCAAATTCACACATAACAATATTAACCTTAAATATAAAGGGGCTAAGTGCCCCAATTAAAAGACACAGACACCAGTGTCCAATTTGCCAAATAGGATAAAGAGTCAAGATCCATCAGTATGCTGTATTCAAAAGACCCATTTCACGTGCAAAGACACACATAGGCTAAAAATAAAGGGATGGAGAAATATTTACTGACAAATAGAAAGCAAAAATAAAAGCAGAGGTTGCAATCCTAGTCTCTGATAAAACAGACTTTAAATCACAAAGATCAAAAGACACAAAGAAGGCCATACATAATGGTAAAGGGATCAAGGTAATAAGAAGAGATAACTATCCTAAATATATATGCACCCAATACATGAGCACCCAGATTCATAAAGCAAGTTCTTAGAGATCTACAAAGAGACTCAGACTCGCACACAATAATAGTGGGAGACTTTAACACCCCACTGGCAATATTAGACAGATAATGAGACAGAAGACTAACAAGGATACTCAGGACTTAAACTCAGCTTTGGACCAAGTAGACCTAATACACATCTACAAAACTCTCCACCCCAAATCAACAGAATATACATTCTTCTCAGCACCATATAGCACTTATT